ACACAGCTGGCAAAGCAGTATAATCAATGTACGGTCTTATCGCGGAGCAGAATGTGGGTCGGATCATGAATTAGTAATCGCGAAACTTCGACAAAAACTTAATATAAAAAAGAGAAAAGAAAACCGTTTCGATTTTGAGAATTTTAATTTGGAAAAATTAAAAAATCCATCAATTAGAAACCAATTCGAGCTAGATGTTAAGAATAGGTTTGAAGCTTTAGAGCTTCCTGACGAGGACCACGAGGATATTGACAAGTTATGGGTAGAGATCAGGGATAATATTAAAGCGGTCGGTAACTCGTGTCTAGGAAAAAAGGAAAATAAGAATAACAAACCGTGGTTTGATGAAGATTGCTTAAACATGTGCGAAAAAAGGAAAGCCGCTAAATTAAAAGCTCTAAATAATCCTAGCGAAGACAATCTGGAATACTTCCGAATCTCAAAGAACGAAACAACAAAATTGCTCAAAAATAAAAAAAGGGAGTATCTCAAAAATAAAATAATTGAAATAGAAACTAATAGAATCGAAAATAACGTAAGAGACATGTACAAAGGTATAAACAGATCACGTAAATATGTAGGGCCCGTAACGTCTGGAATTAGGGATGATAATAACAATATTCTGACCGATCCGGTTGACATATTGAATAAGTTTAAGGACCACTTTGACAATATTTTAAATACGGGAAATTATGATCTGTGTCCTCCTTCTGAGTACCAGAGTGCTGAACCGTTGATAGAAGGACCAAGTAAAGAGGAAGTTGAAGTAGCTATCGGTAAATTAAAATCATATAAAGCAGCGGGAATCGATAATATTCCTACTGAACTAATTAAGGCATGCGGGGAAGCTGGAGTTTCTAAAATACATCGCTTGGTTGAAAAGATCTGGGTGAACGAGAAATTACCTGAAGAATGGAAAGAATCTATTCTTATTCCGATTCACAAAAAGGGTCCGAGGACGGATTGTAATAACTATCGAGGAATTTCACTCCTTCCGGTATGTTATAAAATATTCACTTTAATCTTAACCAGTCGAATCACGGAATACGCCGAGGAAATTATCGGAGACTACCAATGCGGATTTAGACGGAATCGTTCGACTATTGATCAAATATTTTCTTTACGGCAAATATTAGAGAAAAAATTGGAGTATAACGGTATTGTTCACCAGCTGTATATAGATTTTAAAAAGGCTTACGATTCTATTGACCGCCAGAAACTGTATAATATTCTAATCGAGCAGGGAATTCCAAAAAAACTAGTAAATCTAGTCAGGATGTGCTTGACGGAGACACTCAATAAAGTTAGAATCGGTAATAATTTGTCCGAAAAATTTGAGGTTCGTTCGGGCTTAAAACAGGGGGATTCTCTTTCGCCTGTCCTGTTCAATTTGGCATTAGAACATGCCATTAGGGAGGTAATGCGTACCGAGAAAGGGTTGGATCTGGGCGGGACAACATCCGTGCTGGGCTATGCTGATGATCTGGTACTGTTAAGCGAAGACGTTGAAACTATAAAACTAAATACGACAACGTTAATGAAAGCCGGTAAAGAACTAGGACTCGAAATAAACGTGGATAAAACAAAATATATGGTTAGCTGCAAAAATGGCGATACTACTGGTGATATCGATATAGATGGTAATATGTTTGAACAGGTAGATAAATTTAGGTATCTAGGTTCTACAATAACCAGAAAAAACGAAATTGAAGAAGAGATTAAAGTTAGACTGAAGGCGGGGAATGCTTGTTATTTTTCTGTGACAAAACTACTCAGTTCGCGCCTCTTGTCCCGAAACTTAAAAATTAGAATCTATAAAACAATTATCTTGCCTACAGTTCTTTATGGATGCGAAACTTGGCCGCTTACATTAAGGGATGAGCAGCGTCTTAAGGTTTTTGAAAATAAAGTATTGCGTAGAATATTCGGACCGAAGAAGGATGAGTTAACCGGAGAGTTCAGACGGTTACACAACGCCGAATTGCGTGAGCTATATCCGGGTAATATAATTGAGGTAATTTCATCGCGGCGAATCAAATGGGCTTGTAAAGTTGTTGGGCTTAGTAACGAGAGAATTCCTAAAAGGTTAATATTTGCTGTGCCGAATGGTAAGCGTCGGAGGGGTAGACCGAAGCGAAGGTGGGAAGATTGCATTAAAGCTGATCTTAAGGGACTGGGTTTGGACGGCGAACGGTGGAGGGAGGTGTGTAACAAGCGATTGGTGGTGTCGGCATCGAACCTTCGGGTTCGCTAAGCCTTATTATTATTATTATAAATGTACCTAGTTGATTAATTCCTAGTACAGCAAGTCTTTTTCTAAATATGAGCAGCATATCATTATAAAAATAAGCTTATAAAACATATTGCACAGCTAAAAAAATAATCACCAAACAGATATTATCTGTTGTTCAATATTTATTATATTTACCTCTAGTGAAAAAAAAAAATGTTTATTCCAGTTAAATTTGAAGGGTATACATTCAAAAGTGTACACTTATTTATTTTTTTAATATGATTGAATATACATTAAACATCTGCACACAAACTTCACCAGTTGCTGTTGTTTTTTAATTTTTTTATTTTTTACTGTCAATATTTCATAGTATTCCTAGTTTGCAGTCTTGGAAGAATATAATTTTATATTTTTACCCTCTCTTATTAAACAGACATTTCTTCAAATTTGAAATTATTAACTGCAATGTAACACATTCTAACTTACTATTTGCTTATATTCTAATTTAAGTTTATTTTCAGGATCCAGTTAATTTTTTGTAACATGTTTATGAATTCTATCTTTAAATCTTGCGACATTTGTACATTACACCACTCTGTCAAAGGCACCTCCATGTCAAAAGCAGCAGGAACTCCATCAGTCATTGGTGGATCAAAGGTAGGGGAAGGAATAGCTTTAAAAATTTTTAATGTTATTTTCTTCAGTGCAAATTAATAATGTTTGGTATTTGACTAATTTTTTCCTTTTATGCTAGTCTTGGAACATTGTGAGGTTGTCATAAAACCTAAAATATTCAACATAGTAGAAAGAAGTTTTTACTAAAAATAAATGTACCTAGTTGATTAATTCCTAGTACAGCAAGTCTTTTTCTAAATATGAGCAGCATATCATTATAAAAATAAGCTTATAAAACATATTGCACAGCTAAAAAAAAATCACCAAACAGATATTATCTGTTGCTCAATATTAATTTAATTAACCTCGAGTGAAAAAAAAAATGTTTATTCCAGTTAAATTTGAAGGGTATACATTCAAAAGTGTACACTTATTTATTTTTTTAATATGATTGAATATACATTAAACATCTGCACACAAACTTCACCAGTTGCTGTTGTTTTTTAATTTTTTTATTTTTTACTGTCAATATTTCATAGTATTCCTAGTTTGCAGTCTTGGAAGAATATAATTTTATATTTTTACCCTCTCTTATTAAACAGACATTTCTTCAAATTTGAAATTATTAACTGCAATGTAACACATTCTAGCTTACTATTTGCTTATATTCTAATTTAAGTTTATTTTCAGGATCCAGTTAATTTTTTGTAAAATGTTTATGAATTCTATCTTTAAATCTTGCGACATTTGTACATTACACCACTCTGTCAAAGGCACCTCCATGTCAAAAGCAGCAGGAACTCCATCAGTCATTGGTGGATCAAAGGTAGGGGAAGGAATAGCTTTAAAAATTTTTAATGTTATTTTCTTCAGTGCAAATTAATAATGTTTGGTATTTGACTAATTTTTTCCTTTTGTGCTAGTCTTGGAACATTGTGAGGTTGTCATAAAACCTAAAATATTCAACATAGTAGAAAGAAGTTTTTACTAAAAATAAATGTACCTAGTTGATTAATTCCTAGTACAGCAAGTCTTTTTCTAAATATGAGCAGCATATCATTATAAAAATAAGCTTATAAAACATATTGCACAGCTAAAAAAATAATCACCAAACAGATATTATCTGTTGTTCAATATTTATTATATTTACCTCTAGTGAAAAAAAAAAATGTTTATTCCAGTTAAATTTGAAGGGTATACATTCAAAAGTGTACACTTATTTATTTTTTTAATATGATTGAATATACATTAAACATCTGCACACAAACTTCACCAGTTGCTGTTGTTTTTTAATTTTTTTATTTTTTACTGTCAATATTTCATAGTATTCCTAGTTTGCAGTCTTGGAAGAATATAATTTTATATTTTCACCCTCTCTTATTAAACAGACACTTCTCCAAATTTGAAATTATTAACTGCAATGTAACACATTCTAGCTTACTATTTGCTTATATTCTAATTTAAGTTTATTTTCAGGATCCAGTTAATTTTTTGTAAAATGTTTATGAATTCTATCTTTAAATCTTGCGACATTTGTACATTACACCACTCTGTCAAAGGCACCTCCATGTCAAAAGCAGTAGGAACTCCATCAGTCATTGGTGGATCAAAGGTAGGGAAAGGAATAGCTTTAAAAATTTATAATTTTATTTCCCTCAGTGCAAATTAATAATATATGGTATTTGACTAATTTTTTCCTTTTATGCTAGTCTTGGAACATTGTGAGGTTGTCATAAAATCTAAAATATTCAACATAGTAGAAAGACAGTTTTTACTAAAAATAAATATACCTAGTTGATTAATTCCTAGTACAGCAAGGCTTTTTCTAAACATGAGCAGCATATCATTATAAAAATAAGCTTATATAAGATATTGCACATCTAAAAAAATAATCACCAAACAGATATTATCTGTTGTTCAATATTTATTATATTTACCTCTAGTGAAAAAAAAAAATGTTTATTCCAGTTAAATTTGAAGGGTATACATTCAAAAGTGTACACTTATTTATTTTTTTAATATGATTGAATATACATTAAACATCTGCACACAAACTTCACCAGTTGCTGTTGTTTTTTAATTTTTTTATTTTTTACTGTCAATATTTCATAGTATTCCTAGTTTGCAGTCTTGGAAGAATATAATTTTATATTTTTACCCTCTCTTATTAAACAGACATTTCTTCAAATTTGAAATTATTAACTGCAATGTAACACATTCTAACTTACTATTTGCTTATATTCTAATTTAAGTTTATTTTCAGGATCCAGTTAATTTTTTGTAACATGTTTATGAATTCTTTCTTTAAATCTTGCGACATTTGTACATTACACCACTCTGTCAAAGGCACCTCCATGTCAAAAGCAGCAGGAACTCCATCAGTCATTGGTGGATCAAAGGTAGGGGAAGGAATAGCTTTAAAAATTTTTAATGTTATTTTCTTCAGTGCAAATTAATAATGTTTGGTATTTGACTAATTTTTTCCTTTTATGCTAGTCTTGGAACATTGTGAGGTTGTCATAAAACCTAAAATATTCAACATAGTAGAAAGAAGTTTTTACTAAAAATAAATGTACCTAGTTGATTAATTCCTAGTACAGCAAGTCTTTTTCTAAATATGAGCAGCATATCATTATAAAAATAAGCTTATAAAACATATTGCACAGCTAAAAAAATAATCACCAAACAGATATTATCTGTTGTTCAATATTTATTATATTTACCTCTAGTGAAAAAAAAAAATGTTTATTCCAGTTAAATTTGAAGGGTATACATTCAAAAGTGTACACTTATTTATTTTTTTAATATGATTGAATATACATTAAACATCTGCACACAAACTTCACCAGTTGCTGTTGTTTTTTAATTTTTTTATTTTTTACTGTCAATATTTCATAGTATTCCTAGTTTGCAGTCTTGGAAGAATATAATTTTATATTTTTACCCTCTCTTATTAAACAGACATTTCTTCAAATTTGAAATTATTAACTGCAATGTAACACATTCTAGCTTACTATTTGCTTATATTCTAATTTAAGTTTATTTTCAGGATCCAGTTAATTTTTTGTAAAATGTTTATGAATTCTATCTTTAAATCTTGCGACATTTGTACATTACACCACTCTGTCAAAGGCACCTCCATGTCAAAAGCAGTAGGAACTCCATCAGTCATTGGTGGATCAAAGGTAGGGGAAGGAATAGCTTTAAAAATTTTTAATTTTATTTTCCTCAGTGCAAATTAATAATGTTTGGTATTTGACTAATTTTTTCCTTTTATGCTAGTCTTGGAACATTGTGAGGTTGTCATAAAACCTAAAATATTCAACATAGTAGAAAGAAGTTTTTACTAAAAATAAATGTACCTAGTTGATTAATTCCTAGTACAGCAAGTCTTTTTCTAAATATGAGCAGCATATCATTATAAAAATAAGCTTATAAAACATATTGCACAGCTAAAAAAATAATCACCAAACAGATATTATCTGTTGTTCAATATTTATTATATTTACCTCTAGTGAAAAAAAAAAATGTTTATTCCAGTTAAATTTGAAGGGTATACATTCAAAAGTGTACACTTATTTATTTTTTTAATATGATTGAATATACATTAAACATCTGCACACAAACTTCACCAGTTGCTGTTGTTTTTTAATTTTTTTATTTTTTACTGTCAATATTTCATAGTATTCCTAGTTTGCAGTCTTGGAAGAATATAATTTTATATTTTTACCCTCTCTTATTAAACAGACATTTCTTCAAATTTGAAATTATTAACTGCAATGTAACACATTCTAACTTACTATTTGCTTATATTCTAATTTAAGTTTATTTTCAGGATCCAGTTAATTTTTTGTAACATGTTTATGAATTCTATCTTTAAATCTTGCGACATTTGTACATTACACCACTCTGTCAAAGGCACCTCCATGTCAAAAGCAGCAGGAACTCCATCAGTCATTGGTGGATCAAAGGTAGGGGAAGGAATAGCTTTAAAAATTTTTAATGTTATTTTCTTCAGTGCAAATTAATAATGTTTGGTATTTGACTAATTTTTTCCTTTTGTGCTAGTCTTGGAACATTGTGAGGTTGTCATAAAACCTAAAATATTCAACATAGTAGAAAGAAGTTTTTACTAAAAATAAATGTACCTAGTTGATTAATTCCTAGTACAGCAAGTCTTTTTCTAAATATGAGCAGCATATCATTATAAAAATAAGCTTATAAAACATATTGCACAGCTAAAAAAATAATCACCAAACAGATATTATCTGTTGTTCAATATTTATTATATTTACCTCTAGTGAAAAAAAAAAATGTTTATTCCAGTTAAATTTGAAGGGTATACATTCAAAAGTGTACACTTATTTATTTTTTTAATATGATTGAATATACATTAAACATCTGCACACAAACTTCACCAGTTGCTGTTGTTTTTTAATTTTTTTATTTTTTACTGTCAATATTTCATAGTATTCCTAGTTTGCAGTCTTGGAAGAATATAATTTTATATTTTTACCCTCTCTTATTAAACAGACATTTCTTCAAATTTGAAATTATTAACTGCAATGTAACACATTCTAGCTTACTATTTGCTTATATTCTAATTTAAGTTTATTTTCAGGATCCAGTTAATTTTTTGTAAAATGTTTATGAATTCTATCTTTAAATCTTGCGACATTTGTACATTACACCACTCTGTCAAAGGCACCTCCATGTCAAAAGCAGTAGGAACTCCATCAGTCATTGGTGGATCAAAGGTAGGGAAAGGAATAGCTTTAAAAATTTATAATTTTATTTCCTCAGTGCAAATTAATAATATATGGTATTTGACTAATTTTTTCCTTTTATGCTAGTCTTGGAACATTGTGAGGTTGTCATAAAATCTAAAATATTCAACATAGTAGAAAGACAGTTTTTACTAAAAATAAATATACCTAGTTGATTAATTCCTAGTACAGCAAGGCTTTTTCTAAACATGAGCAGCATATCATTATAAAAATAAGCTTATATAAGATATTGCACATCTAAAAAAATAATCACCAAACAGATATTATCTGTTGTTCAATATTTATTATATTTACCTCTAGTGAAAAAAAAAAATGTTTATTCCAGTTAAATTTGAAGGGTATACATTCAAAAGTGTACACTTATTTATTTTTTTAATATGATTGAATATACATTAAACATCTGCACACAAACTTCACCAGTTGCTGTTGTTTTTTAATTTTTTTATTTTTTACTGTCAATATTTCATAGTATTCCTAGTTTGCAGTCTTGGAAGAATATAATTTTATATTTTTACCCTCTCTTATTAAACAGACATTTCTTCAAATTTGAAATTATTAACTGCAATGTAACACATTCTAGCTTACTATTTGCTTATATTCTAATTTAAGTTTATTTTCAGGATCCAGTTAATTTTTTGTAAAATGTTTATGAATTCTATCTTTAAATCTTGCGACATTTGTACATTACACCACTCTGTCAAAGGCACCTCCATGTCAAAAGCAGTAGGAACTCCATCAGTCATTGGTGGATCAAAGGTAGGGAAAGGAATAGCTTTAAAAATTTATAATTTTATTTCCCTCAGTGCAAATTAATAATATATGGTATTTGACTAATTTTTTCCTTTTATGCTAGTCTTGGAACATTGTGAGGTTGTCATAAAATCTAAAATATTCAACATAGTAGAAAGACAGTTTTTACTAAAAATAAATATACCTAGTTGATTAATTCCTAGTACAGCAAGGCTTTTTCTAAACATGAGCAGCATATCATTATAAAAATAAGCTTATATAAGATATTGCACATCTAAAAAAATAATCACCAAACAGATATTATCTGTTGTTCAATATTTATTATATTTACCTCTAGTGAAAAAAAAAAATGTTTATTCCAGTTAAATTTGAAGGGTATACATTCAAAAGTGTACACTTATTTATTTTTTTAATATGATTGAATATACATTAAACATCTGCACACAAACTTCACCAGTTTGTGAAATTTGTACATTGCATCATTCTGCACTATGAGTGGAAGGTGATAATGATTTGTACATTATTTTTTAAAATGATATGATCAATATATATTTTATCTTTAACAATTTAACTGATTCTTCTGATTAATTTTTTTTACTAGAACCCATCTGATCCCATTCACATACAGTCAACTGAATCTGATAGCTGGTGAACATCTGGCACAGGTTATTCCTACATTCTCCTCCTAACTAGTTCATTCAATTCAATTTCAAAGTATCACCTCCATATCAAAGGGACTAGGAATACCATCAGTCATTGGTGGATCAATGTGAGGGAAAGGAAGAGCTTTAAAAGTTTACATTTTTATTTATTTTTATTGTGAGGATTCAAAGTTAGATGTTTGTCCAGGTGGAGTCATAGGTATCAGCTTTGTTGAACAGAGATAAGTGGAGTATTATTAGAGGATGCTGTAGGACAGGAAGTAGTTGGTTTAGGAGGAGATGTAAATATGTTTTGATGGGATTTCTAGACTGGGAGCAAATGGCTGGATCTATTTTTAAATTTCATGGCTTAAATTATTGGTTGAGATCTTCTTAGTGTTTTGAAAAAAATTGAGCTAAAAATACTGACCTTTGATATAATTTAATTACTCCAGTATAAAAAATTAAACAAACAAAAAATTGAAGAAATAATACATAAAAGCACTCTGAAGAAGCGTCACATAAGCGTCAAAGCTCCAATGGTGAAGTATTAGGAGATCAGAAGCTCCTAGGCGCTAAGGCTCACTGTCTGATCATTGGCCTTAGCTTAACTAGAATGCAACTTCTCGCCAATTGATGTGTTTATAGTCTTATTATGAAGCGTGACTTTTAGAATCAATATTTAAATGATACATACATAGTATGAGCATAATATACGCTCATATTTTAAGCTTAAGTTTAATATTATTAAATTAGATATGTGCTATAAATCATCAACTTCAATAAAAAATATTGGACACACAACCCGGCCTTCGGTCCGATTTGTCTTGGAGACGAGAAAAAAATATTTTATATCATTTCAAGAGAAATTTGTGTATTGTTCTTTATTCCTACCTTTGGTTAACCACCCCGTAACCACCCGGGCAAAAAGTAAAGCAGGAAAAAAAAACAGTACATAAATTTCTCTTGAATGATATAAAATATTAATTCTCGGCTCCAAGACCCATCGGACCGAAGGCCGGGACGTGTCTCCAATATTTTTTATATGCATATATTGTAATAGTCAATTACTAAGATATTTGTTATTTAATAAGTATGAGCTGTTGTGTGGAAAACATAATTTTAGGTAGATTTAATGAAACATCGACAAAGTTGATGATTTATAGCATATATTCATTTTAATAATATTAAACTTAAACTTAAAATATGTTCGTATATTATGCTCATACTATGTATGAAACATTTAAATATTAACTATAAAAGTCAGGCTAGATAATAAGACTATAAACGTATAAATTGGCGAGAAGTTGCATTCAAGTTAAGCTATGATCATAGCTCAGACAGGGAGCCTTAGCCCCTAGGAGCTTCTGTTCTCCTGATCCTATACCTTCAAACCTTTGACGCTTATGTGACGCTTCTTCAGAGTATGTTTATTTCTTATTTCCTCAATTTTTCAACTTGTTTTATTTTTTTCTATGAGAGTAATTAACTTGTATAAGAAAGTTACTTTGTTGGGCATGCAGTTCCTTACCGACTTATCTAATTAAATTGTTTATCTGAATAAATAAATAAATAATGAGGCCTAAGAAAGATAAAAAAAAAAAATCTCCTTACTACAGGAACACCATTTGAATGTATTTTCATCTCTGACCACTGTTCCCAAAAATAATTGTATTTTATGATAACAATTGATGCTTGTCATAATGTAGTAGTAAGTTTCATTTCCAGAATACAACAATCCATAAATTAGTGCAATTATAAAAAAAATAATAAAACATGAAATATTTAGTGGAAGAATACCCAAAGAATTATTTTGGCCTGTGCCCATGTTAAGTAGATGGCTGCCTTGTGTTTGAAAGTAGAGAGTGCTGAGCGACATAGAGTAATTTTCA